GACACGGGACTGCTCTCAGCCACAGTGGCACACAGCCGGACTGAGAGACAGCGGAGGAACCAAACCCAGCTATAAAGAAATGGCTTTATTGGGGGGTGGGAGCCCCGGGAAGGGCCGGCAGAGGTTGGGGGCTGCCCCAGGGAGGGGTGGTGGGACATCAATTTCTCTTCCTGCCTTTGCCGACAGCCTTGGCGGGAGCAGCGACGGGTGCCGCAGACTGGTAGAGGGTGGAAGAGATCTTGTTGATGTAGTAGAGGCCGACCATGGAGAAGATGAGGCTGTGGGAAAGAAAAGAAGAGGCTGGGGCTGGCAGGCAGGAACACGCCAGGGCCGAACCCCGACACCTTCCCCTTCAACCCCCTCATGCTGCAGTGCCTGACGCTGCCAGCCTGGGGGTCCCCTGCCAGCCTTAGCCCTGTACGGTGCCCTGTTCCCCTCCCAATGGCAAGCACAAGCCATCAGGGGCCCCAGCAGCAGCCGCAGTGGCACGATGGTTGATGCCCAACCTCCGGAGCTGGCTCTGGACTTACCAAGTGGTCACACAGACTCGGTGAATAAGGCCGGAGGCAAAGAGAGCCAGCAAGAGGCAGGTGAGGACTGCAGGGGAAAGACAAGAGAGATGAAAGATGCAGCCACGCCGCCCCAAGATGTCCTCAAAAGAGCAGGGGCCGGCGCCACAGCGGTGCTGGAGGACAAACCTACCCACAGCATGGGGGGAACTGCCAGGGTGGGCCCTGCCCCCAGGCAGGGTTGGGACTCTTCAGCCACACCGTGGCAGGGCCACACCGTGGGCCCTTCGCAAACCCGGCACAGCCCGCGCGGTCCCCCTCCCATCCCTCCGCAGCACTTACTCTCAGGGAAGATCTTGGCCTGGAAGCCCTTGCCGAACACGAGGTTCTCCAGGTTGTTGAAAGCCTGGCCGGAGAGTTAAGGAACAAAACGGGCCACCGCTGCCCCCCGAGCCCCGCTCCCCACCGCTGCCCCAGTCCCGGTCCCCGCCACCCCAAAGGATACGGTGAGGGAGCAGAGGAAGAGCGCGGAGCCCAGCAACCCGCCCTGGATGGTCAACCACTCGGTGGAGGCCAACTGCCGGCTGTACATCTGCATCCCGGCAAAGAGCAGCAGCGAGAGCAGCGAGGAGAGCGCCAGGGAGGTGCCCGTGCCTACGGCTGGGACCGGGGACCGCCTCAGCACGGGCCACCGGCACCGCGGGGCCGAGGCCTTCCCCCGGGCCGAGGCCTTCCCGCCGACCCCGGCCGCCCCGCGGCCCACCTCTCATCCCCCCATAC